GATACAAGTGCATTTTGGTCCTTCTAATTATAAAAGAAATGGATGTTGCGACAATTAAGAATAAAGTATTTCATTTTCTCCTTTTGAGAACTTCATTACTATACAACGAGCCAAAAACATATATAGCAAAAAGAGTGAGAAAGAGTAGAACATTCTTTTTCGCTAGAAAGAAAAGCACTCTCTTGGTGATTGAAAAAGAGTGAATGGGCCTTGTTTGCCGATGCCAGTTCTCCATAACAAAAACCCTATGGGAAAACAAAGTAACAAAGATGCTGGAAACATTGGAGGGGAGGGGGGAACCAAACTAGCTAGTATAATAATTTTGGCAGTTCTACAAGACCTATTTCACAAATACACACTACAGGGCCATAATCGTTCTCTTTCATTTTCTTTTTGTGTTTTTGGTTTTTAACACCGACAAAGTTACAATATGCAGCAGCAGCAGAGAGAGAGAGCATTAGTCCATAACAAGTTGCATATGGCTTTTAAGGTCATTAAGGTAAGTTGAACAACAAGTATAATCTTGCAAGTCCAAACCATCCACGATTACTGGTCTAGCTATGAATGACTTCTGCCGTCCCTCCTGAGGTCCATCCTCAGCTTTTAGCATCTGCAAAACCTATATTTCCAGGAAAAGATATGTTGTCCTTTTTTTCTTTTTGTGGGGTTAAATTTGAAGAGGCAAACAATATTAGGAAGAGGAAACGGAAATGATACTGAAATTCATACCCATTGCATGTTGGGACGCATGTTGGCGTCATGATTGATGCACATCAGGGCTGTCAACATAGCTCGTTTAATTTCACCAGGAACATATGCATTTCCTAGCCTCGGATCCACCATTTCCTTCACAACATTAGACTCCAACAATGGTTTAGCCTATAGAAAAGAGATAACATAGTCATACTTTACTAAAACATAATTGTTTATTGTCTTAGAAGAGAGGTTACTATAGAATTTGGTTAGCTCAAATCATGCATTTCAGTTTGAAAGCATGTTCTAGAGAATTTGTTCTAATGTAGTATCTGGTGTTAGAATCTGATTGTGTTCTAGTTAGCCGGAGACTGTACTGGTCCAAGTAAATTTGTAATCAGAGACCTAATAGAAGAAAGTTGAAATTGAATAATGCATTTATAAAAGATGTAGGGATAAGCAGATCATACCCACATCACAAGGCTTTGTTGTGAGGAATCAACTGCACGTCGACCTGTAAGGATCTCTAATAGAAGAACTCCAAATGCAAATACATCAGTTTTCTCATCAACAATCCCATGCATAAAATATTCTGGAGCCAAATACCTGGACACCATTTTAAATTACAAAAGCACAAATTTTGTGTGAACTTCGTGTAATGATGAATGCTAACATGCTAATTACAAGTCACTAAAAGTCTGCATGCCTAACCCGAATGTACCCTCAATGGGATGGACAACATGGTTACTCCAATTTTCTGGGAGCCATTTTGCTAGTCCAAAGTCAGAAATCTGTAAAGAGCACAAGAAAGATAAGCTTAGTATTGAGAAAAGGTCTACCATAAGGGAGAAGAAAATTAATAATGCATGAGAAGTACTTGAGCATCATAATCTTCAGTCAGCAGTATGTTAGAGGCTTTGATATCTCTGTGTATAATGCGCTTCTGGCAGCCATGATGGAGATAATACAACCCATCTGCTACACCCACAGCCACATTAAACCTTGTTTTCCAATCTAGACACTTTCCTGAACCTGCAGAGCCAAACATTTTCTTGTTAGATAAATGGATATATAAACCAAGGGATATACTAAAATACAAGTTTAGAATTATTATTGCCACTAAAACCATTTCTTTCTATTTTCCCTTTGATACTAGAACTGTATAATGAGTTTGCTAAAGCCAATTAGAAAATGTATCATCCAAAAAAAGGGATAAAAACAGGTAGAAAAATAAGCACAGTACCAAAAAGCCAAGAAGCAAGGCTTCCATGTGGAGAGAACTTGAGGACAAGATGCAAACCACCATCAACGCTGAACCCGATTAAGTGAGCTGCATATGGGTGATTTATGTGAGCAATAATCCCAAGCTATGACAAGAAATCACTGACTCTAGTCTCTTCTTCCTTATCATTCTTCATGATCTTCTTCACTGCCACAACTTTACCATCGGATAAGCGCCCTTTGTATACTTCTGCATGACCACCCTTCCCTAACAAGTTCTCTACAAAATTCTGGATGCATAATTAGAAGCATAAATAACCCATTTATGGCAAGAGACATGGTAGAAGTTTCAAGTTCATCTAATTCGCAGGTATCCCGCATTTTATACTTGACAAATGTAATTTCTCCACACAAATTCTCATCCATTGCAATGAGCACTTACTTATGGTTAATAAGTCTATTTAATGAACCATTGATACTCAACCCATCATTAAAAGAACTTAGGTTTATATGACTGTTTTCCAGGGAACAATTAAATTATCAGCTAAGAAACTTCTCAACATAAACAAATGTTGCCATGCTTACTATTTGGGTCAAGCATGCTATCACATCACTCTCAAGAATTTTATTTAGTCAAAAATTTGTTCTCCCAAAGCCTTTTGTTGTAGGAAAAACTAACTAACCATATACTGCCCTACTATGAAGATAAAATAAGTTGTTCCATCCATTAAAACCAACAAAAAACAGAATCACTGTAAGACTTGGAGAAACTTGCCTAAACAATATTCTTCTAACTGAACAAAAATCCCTTAATTGAGAAATTCAATATACTGTAAGACCATACTACTTAGAAAAAGATCATCAATTTATCCATCCAACAAGACAAGATGGCAACCCTTGTTTCATTTTAACAGAAAGGGATATCTGAATAAAACAAAGTGCTAGTGCACAAACATTTCACTTGAGCAAAACTACTAATCTCAAAATTCAACTCCCAATAGGGTAATGGACACGAACAACTGTATTAAAATATACCCAATACTAATATAGAATTAAAAAGGCACCCAAAACTTAAATTTTCATTGCTCACCAGAGCTGAAATTATCTGTAGCAGTCGCAAGTTCTGTGTAACTGAAATGCTTCCAGGAGGGTTTAATCACCGGCATGCCATCAGAATCAGTCTCTTCACAACCTTGTAATCGAGCCAATCTCCTCCTTATGTTCTTTCTCGAAATCTCATAGCTGGTTATCAAGGGGATGACAGAGAACCTCCTAACAGATTTCTTCTTAATGTTACCAATCATACCTTTCCATTGCAAGCTAGAACCCTCCTTGGTTTGAGCATCCAACACCTTTCTGGGTGGTGGCTGGTCAACAATAAATTCATTTCTATTCTCACCCAAATTTGAATCCCTTTCTGGGTTTTCTTGGTTCTTAACTCCTGCCACTGCAAAACAAAACATACAAATTTAGCATTAGAAAACCATGATCTCATCTTCAATTCCCGCAAAGACCCAACTTTTCTTTTTCCCTTTACAATCAACACCAATTGTCTTCCACAATCTCAATGTTTCTCAGCAACCAAACAGGAAATGTAGCCAACCCACAGGAAAAAAGGAAGCCTTAGAATACCTACCTTTATGCTCGACAGCCATTATCCCAAGCTTATGGAGGATTCAAAAGAGAAGAAAAAATATGGGTTTGATTCAATTTTCTTCTTCAATTAGGAACCCCAAGAGCTCTTGGATAATGAGCTTGAAAAAACAAAAGGGCAAGAGTTACATGGTTTTGGTGGGGTGGTGGGGGAAGTTATTCCATAAAGATTGAATTCAAACCAGAGAATTTCAGAGACTTGGCAGGTGGTATTCTTAGGAGGGGCTAAAACCAGCTCGAGGATGATTTGAAATCTCTCCTATATTTATATAGTCCTCTTTCTCACTCTTCTATTTTCCTCCGAAACAATCAGAATTTTTTTCTTTTTTAAAAAATAAGAACATGTAGAAAATCCAATTATGATGAAGTCTCAACTGTTATCTTTACCACTAAGAAGTCAGACCATTTGCCGCAATCAGTGTTTGTTAGAGGATGAGGAAGGAGAGTAACGACCACACCAACAGTTTGGGACTATAGATATTTTGGGAGCGCAATTTGGGAATATCACAGGCATATTGTTGTTTTTATTTTATTTTATTTTATTAATATTATTAATAATAATATTATTATTATTAAAAAACTGTTTTATAATACAAGATGAACTATATGTAATTCCTCTTATAAAATTTTATTTTAATGTAAATTTATTTTATTAGAAGTATTTAAATAATTTTTTAAATAATTTTATAAGATAAATTACATATAATTTATCTTGTAAAATAGTTTTTTGTATTATTATTTTGGGTAAAATTTATTATTTTATTTTTAGTACTAACTTTACTGTTTGAAAATCAGATTAGATTATAATTAATTTAAAATCAAGTTGCGAACTTATAAAAGAGGAGGCTCTCTTAGTGTCTATTCTTTTATTTTTTTTCATTCAAATCAATAGTTTCGTTAGTAAAATTTATTGTTAATTGATTAGCTAATGATATGGAGATGATTTTCTTTATAAAATTTTTAGGATAATGATTCATGCACCCACCGGTTTGACACATGGTGGGTGCACACTCCTTAAAATGAATAATTGTAAAAATAAAAATTATAAATTTCCCTTAAAAGCCATTTTTCTTCCCCACAATACCCTTTTTCTTCTTGTCTCTCCATCTTCCTCTTCAATCATTCAACACCAATTTCTCAACTTTCTTCCCCCTCCCTCTCTTTTTCCCACTCTTTCTACCTATTGAAGCAAACAAGTTCTTTAACACCTGGGTTTGTGAAAAAACCAGCACCAAATAAGAGGAATAGCAAGCCACAAACCAACAAAGAAAATGGGACCACAAAAAAAAAATAGATTATCAGAAATGAGCTACTGTTCTAAGCACAAAATTAGAACCTACAAAGCTCCTCATGAAAAACTGACCATTCAAAATGTAGATCAATGTCTCTTGAATACCTAGACAAAATTTGAACTCAATCAAACGGTGAAATTTTACAAATTGGACAAAATAGTAAAGTTGCGTGTAGTATCAAAACTGCAAAAATTTTACCTTTTTTTTTCTCTTTTTTGCCGATTGACTCCACTTACATGCACTCCACTTACATGCATTCCACTTTTTGCTATATCATCTCAAAAACAGACATGTTTTATGTGTCTAATGGGCTACAAAATCATGAGCTGAATTGAGGATGATTTTATGAGAAAATGAACTCTTTCTCAAAATTTGGTGTTGTTGTCATTTGAGAAATTAATTTCCACTGATTTGGTGTTGCTATCATTTAGGAAACTTACTCAAGATTCTGATTTGATGCTTGAATACTTGATTGAGTTTTGCTAGGATTCAAATGATTTGTTCTTGCTGTCATTTGGGAAATGGGTTTTGTGAGGAAGAAGATGGTTTATGGGTAAATTTGTAATTTTACTTCTACAATTATCTGGTTTGTGGAGTGTGCACTCACCAGGTGTTGAATCGGCAAGTGCATGAATCATTATCCAAATTATACAGTCACAAATTTATTCTACCAATATTCTATACAATACTTATTCTTCAGTTTCACTTTTATGATAAAAATTAAATTACATTAATTTTATACTATCATTATTAAATTAAATATTAATACAACATTTAAATATAAAATTTACCCTTTTTTTTTATAATCACCAAATATTAAATCTCTTGATATCTCACATACAATATAATTAATTATAACTACAAAAATAATTATAACTAAATAATTAATATTTATTAATTAGATATCATTTATTAATTAGATATCATTTATAAATTTTTAGCTTAGTTCATTTAAAGTAAATAACTCAAGCCAATTAATGTGTAATTAGGTATCTTATCAAATTTAAATTTTTTACTTTATAGATAATTACCTACAAAACAAACAAAATATCAAAATAATTAATTATTACATATATAATTATTTATAAATATATTAACTTCCAAATACATTGAAACCTACTTAATCACATAATATTTATAAAAATATTTTAGGCAATAAAATCACAATATATGCTTCAAGAGAATGAAGTAATTGATGGGAATTTGTTTAATTATTAATATATGTACAAGAATTTCATAATAAAAGAGAATAAGTAAAATATACATATTAGAGAATGGATAAAAATAGGTGAGTTATAGATATGTGCCAAAAAAAAAAAAAAAAAAAAAAAAGAGGCTAAAATGAGGAGAAGTGGAAGGGACGGTATGCAAGAAAATGGGAGTAGAATTGAAAGAATAGTCTCTAGCGATTGCTCAACATGGTGTGGGGGTGTGGTATATATAAAACTTTTAGTAACATATATCATGTTGCTGAAAGTTTAGGCACTATATCAGCAACGTATTTCATGTTATTAAAATTTATTTGAATTTCAATTACATAACTCATCATTGATGTGTATTATGTGGTTAAAACTTCAAATCTCCACTCTTGCCATACTCATCTATTAAAATTGCTATCATTTAATTAATTCTTATTCTTAAAAAAATGTTAAATACCTGATTTGGTCCCTCAACTTTTATTTCTAAACCAAAACTATTGTTAAAATTTAAAAAATATCAAAAAAATCCTTAAACCTTAATTTTTAGAA